ACTGGGGCGGGGCAGGGCAGCCATTGACAGGGCTGGGAGAGCAGGCGGGGGATGGGGCCTGTTTGATTCAGAGATTTGGCTGATTCAGCAGTGGCCAAATCTCTGAATCAGATTTGGCTGAGTCGATTTGGGACAGTGCTTTCAATCACCAAATCGAATCACTGTGCCCCAAATTGGCCGAATCCAAATCTGAAGTGAATACTAGCTGCTTCTTACAGGCCTATTAGCTAGCATACTATGTGCCTAGGGTCTGTGGGGCTGGGGTTCATGCTGTGGGAGATGGGAGGGAGGGATCCCTGCTTGAGCAGCGAGGCAGGGGTAGGACAGGAGGAAGCCACGTAGACCCTGCTGTGTCTGCAGTCTCTACCAGAGCTCCAACCAGGGAGCAGAAAGGAGGGGCCAGCTCTGCTGTGGAGCAGAGAGCCCCACCCAGCCCACAGAGCATGCTGGGATGCTGGGGGTGCCTGGTTTATCTTTAACCAGCAAGGGGTCTGGGACACTTATTGCAAAAACTGATTTGAGCCAAATCAGTTAAGTTTGATACTACATTCAACTAGGTTTATCTCAAACTGGTTTCAGCCATTTTGAAACTAGTTTATGTGCACTGAACATCTGTTCTGTTACAGGTTTAAACCAGTTTCTGATCACTTAAACCAGTTTATGTGTAATGGCTGTTCCTAGCCTATAAATTTAGTTAGTGTGACTTGCATCACAGCACATGTGTTTCCACATAGACATCAATTCAGACACACACACCCCTCTCTTTCTTTGCTATGCCATTCAGTATGGTTGCCAGGTTCTCACCAAGCTGATTTTGCTGCTGAAATTTTCCTAAATGACCATGAACATGAGGCAATGATAATCTTGGGTTCCCAATGTAAAATAAAGTAACAATAAAAGCAAATACATAAAGCAGTAGGATTCAGAATGATCTTTGAGAGGTAGAAAAAGTAATAAGCGTGAAACAGTGCACTGGAATATAACAAAGACAAGGTGCGTTCAGATGAGCATACGTGCACTTTGTGGCTTCTCAAATGCTTTTTAGGCAGCGCAAAATGCACATGGCACATATGAAAGAGTTCTCCGCTCTATATATTTGCAGCACAGAAGAAAATCTAGATACCGAGAACTCCTAATATCTAAAAAAAAAGGCAGCAGAAAAAAAGTGGGGTGGCGCAAATGGCTGCAGTGTCTGCTGCCCGAAACTGAGCCTGGCCAGCCAGAGCTATGCTCCAGTTGCCGGCCAGGCTTCACATGCCCCCACTGCCCCTGCTGCAACCCTGGGAAGCCCCCAGGACTGCAGGTAAGGCTGCTGGGGCTAGTCCAGGTACTGGCTCCAGCCTCCCCTCCCCTACCCGAGGCAATCTGCCATGTGCCAGAGCATGCATGCAGGGGCACTCCTCAGGGACAAGTAACAGCGGCACAACTACAATGCCACTGTATTTGTCCCCAGGGAAATGCACGGGAGTGCTTGTGTGGATGTGCTTATAAAGGGCAATATTCAGCCGTGAGGTTACATGGAGTAACCTAAGGACTGAATGCAGCCCAGAACTCTCCTGAATCCAACCTACCTGTCTAGCACACACATCTGCATGCAGTCTGCAGAGTCCTGAATGGGAAATACTTTTACTGTTCACTGCTCTTTATATGTATGTGACTTTGGACTTCTAAACTTTACTGGAACTTATTGAGCTTGGTTCTCTACTCGATTACATCAAGTTTACTTGTGAAGTGTCCTGTGATGAGTCAAGGGAGGATCAATGCATACCCCAAGCAGGATAGCATAGGTCATAGCATCAAAGGAGATGTTATAACACACTGAATTCAGATGGGTAAGGAAAGGAAAGGAGAATTCAGTTCAGTGAAGCCTGTCAGATCTCCAGGGATATTGCCAAATTCTCTTTCGGACAGCTGAAGGTTCATGTTCCCTGTTAGAGACAAGCATCTATGTTTCACTGTGAAGCAGCCGCTGCTCTTGCTTCTGCAGGGCTCTGTATGCAAGATACAATTACAAAGCACACTGAAAGATCGAGATTTAGAAAAACACGCAGAGAACTCTGAGGGAGAAACAGAAGGTCACACTTGATAAAAACAAGAAACAAATAACTGAGCTCTGTGTTCAGTCACGTAATTGGGAATGCTTTCCTGTAACAGATAATGGCTGGAAACCCTGCAGGATCAGATCTAGTCACAAAGATCAAAAATGGTTATTTTAGTGGTTAGGGCTTGGTAAATAGTACATGATGCTCTCACGGGATTTAGGTGAAACCCTGTAATTCAAGGAAAAACTGGTCAACAAAACTAATAATTATGGCACATTTTAGGAGCTGAGAAGAATGTATATTGAAGTGACCACAGGGACACTTTTTCAAGTTCTACCTATTTTTGCAAGATAGATTTTTTGCTGAATTTAATATTCAGTGGAAACAGATTACAGCTCAGTTCCTGATTTCCCTGAAACCTTCCTCTATTTCTGCTTTCTTATCTCTAAGTCCCAAGTAAGAAAAATATCAGAATCCTAACTTAAAAGGGCTAGACAGTAATCATCATCATCACCACCAGTACCACCAATCATCCAGTTGCATGTGTTTATATGCTGTAACAATTGGACTTGTATAAGGTTACATATCCATGTATATATACAACTGGTTTCTGATGGATGGAAATCATCATTGTTCAAATGTGTATCATGAGCCCCATACTGCTGAAAGCTGATGGAAATTCTCTTCTAGCTCAAGGACTAGTGGTTGGTGCTTTGAGAAGATCTGATTTTTTCTCCACCGTCTGCCTGTTTTACTGTATATGTGCTTTAAAAAGTGCTTTAATAAGAAAAAAAAAGAGTCATCTGTATAAAATGTTACATGGTCACCCTTCCTGGCAATACACAATCACTCATGTACTTAGAAGGAACCAAAGTCCAAGACAAAATGCAACAACACTTACAAAGAGCAGGAGGCACTTGTTCTCACGGATGGCCCCACAGCAGCCAAGAAAGCCCAGCAGGAAGAGCATCGCTCCCATTGCCAGCATGATGTATGCTCCCGTGAAGAGCAGAGGGTTGGCAGCCACGATCTCTCGAAATCCTGTTGGATCCACAATAACCCAGATCCCAACTCCTAGAAGGCAGGCCCCTCCCAGCTACCACAAAGAAGGAGAGAACAGGAGATGAAAGAGTTAAAAAAAACCTGATGTCAAAGGGGATTTGTCAGATGATTCTGATCTAAGAAGTCCTCTTGGTCTGCACTTGCTGCTTCATGGCAAATGCTCTCTGCAAAACAGGCAACTCTGCTCACTGACTGTGCAGTTTCAATTGCTTTCTCCCCTTGTTTTTTCATTATTGGGAACATTTATAACAAAAGCCATGTTTTGTTTCTTAACTGTTCACTTGTTCCAGCTGTTTACTCCTTCCCTAATATTGTAAGACCATATCCTCAGCCCCATGTGCTGCCTGAGTCACTAGAGCTGCTTGGGACAGTCCAGTTGAGGGAGGTAAAGGAATCCTTCCCCTATAGCCCCCGTGCTACCCCTATGGGGGAAACAACAGCCTGTAGTTTCACCTGCCCCGCCTTTCAAAAGACCCCATCAAACTGATCCTGCAGAGAAGAGCCACATTTATTAGACATATCATAACAGAGGAGCCAGGACTAGAAACTGCTTCTTAAACAATACAAGGCTGGCCTCTTTCTCTGCCCACAGTAGTAACATGCTCTTCAGGCTTCTTTTGCTGAAGAGAGACATCACTCAAAATGACAGCAAGCACCAGGCTGCCTTGTTGAATGCTTCAGCACCTTTGGACCAAAGGCGCTGGGCACATTCAGTCACTGTAGTGATGAAGCTGAAGGGATCTTCTGCATCATGGGAACTTTACCAGAGCACATCAGGGCCTGTCAGTGCATCAAGTGGGAGTGCGAGGGAGCAGGAGACTGATAGAGAACAAGAGAGAGAGCACGAGAGGGTTCCAAGTACTTACAAATATGAAGAAATTGAAAAGAAACATCAGATACTTCATGCAGCTCAGACAATCCCCCTCCATGGTCTCCAGGCTGTGTGACCCAATTATTCCTGCAAAACACGAATGCTTCCTTAGTACATTTGCTGTTTCCAGTGTGGCACAGGCTTATTTCCCATCATATGCCCCATAGACCTGTGGAATTCACTACACTGATGGGTTTGTTTTTTTACCTGAATTTAGTAACATAATATACGCTAATAGATGGTAATAATCACTGCTAATTCCCACTGCGTTCTTCCTGTGTGGATCAGGATAGAGGGTGGAAGGTGAAGCTGTAGAAGACCGAAGCACCCACTTTGCTCATAAGCCTGGATACCCCAAATCACTGTTGTGCAGATAAAACTTCAGTTTTTCCCCGCCCCCACACTGATACAAAGGGCACTGAGCAGATGTGACTACCCAAAGTAAGAATCATGCACTACTGGGCAAATCCTGCGACAGCCCTTGGCAGGATTGCAGTACTATAGCTCCACTGCGCTCAAGACTGTGAGGATTGCAATCAAATGGAATAGATGGGATCTGGTACCATCTCAAAGGGTTTGCAATGGCTGAATATTGTGGAGCCCAGTCTGTATCAGGCTTCTCCCACAGAGGAGGAGCAACAAGGACAACGATAGGTTCAGGGTAGCTTTTAGAAGCTGAGAGCAGAAGTGGGTGGGTGACTGCAGGATAAATCTTCAGCTAAAATAAATTTATACAGCATCACTAAAATCTTGGTGCCTTAGAGCTGCTGTAGGCAGAGACCCTGGATAAACCATGCCAGGATTTGTCCCCAAGAGAAAATGTAAAGGAACCTGAATTGGCTCAGTAACTTCACATGGCTGAACTAGATGGCAAGCCCCTTAGATCTAATCCTTAGACCTGAGACCCTGCTCCTGCCTTTGTTCGAGGTAATTTGCATTATCACAGAGCCCAGAGATACCTCATCACATAAGAAATTCCTGCCCAGAAGAGCATTCCATCTTTTTACTCTTCTGTGAAATATGAAACATCACAACCAGAAGGAAATATGACTCTACATCCTGCTTGCCATCAAACAACTATGAGGTGAACAGACTATTCCAACTTTTCTCTGAACCTAACCTGCATAAAATGAACAGTTCCAAACAGGAGATTTTACCACACCTTCAAATCTCTTATGAAATATGAACTTTCACTTCTACCTAGGAGAACTTTTACAATCTTTTCTCTTATGCCTGAAGGGTGTTTATGCCCAACGGCTTGCAAATAATGATTTTTTTTGCAAAAATCTAGTTGGTCTAATAAAAGGTATCACCTCTACCATGAGTTCTGATTCCTTTTGCCTCTAGACCAGGGGTTTTCAACCTTTTTTAAAAAGTGTACCCCTTCTGTCTTAAAGTTTCAGCTCATGTACCCCTTTACATTAAAATGATGTGGGGGGGGGGGGCTGAGCACGCACGCGCATGCATGTGCACACCCACCCCCAGCAGATAGAAGTCCCCACAGTGAGGGAGGGAGTGGCACACAGACAGGAACAGGGGCTGGAGTGAATGGGGTCCCAGCTGGGCTGGGTCGTGGGACAATCAGAGCCCGGGAAGCTAGTCCAGGGGTGGGGTGGGCTCATGCCAATGCAAGTACCCCAGCAGAGGCCCGGGGGGGAATGTGCCCCCCGATCTGTGCATGGGGCGGAGGCGGCTGCTGCTGCGAGCTGGGCTTTGCACGCTGCTGCAGCTGCTCTGATGTGACTTCACATGCATCCCGCTGCCAGGTGGGCAGGGGGCATGGTGCAGCCCGGTGGCTGCAGGCACATGGCATTGCACCACTCCTGGGGCAGCTGCAGCAGTGTGCAAAGCCCAGCGCACAGCAGCTGGGGGAGTATAGCAGCTTCCATCCCGTGCCCAGATTGGGGGAGGGGGAGGGGCACATGCCCCCTGGGCCTCCACCGGTGTCCCCCCCATCTGTACCCCTTACAACCTTTTTAAGTACCCCCAGGGGTACGTGTACCCCCGGTTAACAACCACTGCTCCAGACCAGTGCAGCTACAACCTAGATACCTGCGCTCCTTAGATCAGCATTTATGACGCGGAAAGCACCAAGAAAACATCTATCAGAGCTCCCTTGATGTAAGCAATTTTAGAAAAAGAGAGACCAGGCTCTGCCCCAAACCACTTACAGTCTAACAAGGTGACTGTGTATCCGCATACGAAGAGACATCAGCTGTCACGTCAATACCACAGAACAACAACAATAACCAAACTCCTACTGAGGCCAAAGATGTTTCAGTTTCTGCAGCTTGCACAGGTGAATATACACACAGGCGTGCATACAATTTTGCTTTGCTCCCCGGAGAACACTCCTGACTGGAATGAAGCCCGTATGCTCTTTACCCCTCCCCTTCCCCAAATAAAGCTGCATCCAATTACATGCTGAGTTAGAAAAATACATTTGATCCTGCTG